ATTTATTAATTTTATAACGGGTACCGCGCCGTTACCATTTGAAATAGTAAACGAATAAACGTTATATGTTGTCACAATATAATTATAAATTCATCGATTTGATGAATGAATTGTTTTGTATATCAATTTACAGTAAACTAAATCTGTTATATTAATGGAAATTGCTTTTCGGCTTAGTTCTCGATCAAATAATAATAATTGTCATCCACATCGCAAATGATTCATATTCGAGTAACAACAGCACGGAAATAACAATGATTCAATGCACAAGCAATTCAAAATTCAAAATGTATATTTCATTATCGTAGCTCGGAGAACTCAGTTGCTGCGATATCAAATATATTCAAGCAAAGCTCGCAAAAGTATTTCGCACTGGCAGTGCGGGTAGCAAAGCGTTATTTTCGCAGCCAGCGTCTGTGCGCGTAGCATTTTAGGTTGGATTATACGTCAGCTCTGTATGTGGATGTGTGCGTGTGCGCGCGCGTGTGTGTGTGTGTATGTTTGTACGTATGTGTGGAAGAGCGCTAATGCCAAGTTAGAATCAACAAATTTCAAGTTTTAAGTACATGGGCATACACACACGTATATGCGCACCGAGAGATATTAAGGCTTTGCATGCGAGAAGAGCGACTCTCTCTCTCTCTCTCGAAAATCAACTCGGCTTTTGACCGCGATGCTTTTTGTTTGCACACTCTCGGCGCGCGTAGCTTCGTTTGAATTTCCCCGCTCGCGTATGTATAACGAAACTGTTACTATAAGCCTACGTCATATAACGTGCGAAAGTGATATTTATGAATAAGAAAGCGCGCGTGGATATAGGACGCGTGTGCTTTTTCGTTTTCTCTCTCTCTTTCTCTCTCTCTCTAATCAACGTGAAAATGTGTGATTTCCAGATTGGGCAAATCGATATATGCATATGCTTGCACGCGAGCTCCATTGACGTTAGCCCCGCTCTCCTGCCCTCTAATTTCATTGTATAATCCAACCTCTGATTTCGAACGACAAGATAATATCATAGAGAATTGATTGTTAGACTTAGAAAAAGCTGTTGACGGTAATCGACGACGAGACGCCATCGAAATAAAAACAAAAGTAAAGGCTTAATTTCTTGCTGTACAGAGAAATAAGCTTTGTAACTATTGCCTATCTCGGGTGCTTTAATGATCGGAAGTTTGGCATAATGTGCTTCGCGACGTTAACGATCAGTGCACATGCACGCATTATGTATCATCGTGGCATGATAGCAATCCGTCCGACGTGTCATTTTTCACGACTTATTCGAGTGAACACACATGACAGTGATTACACGTGCGTCTTATACACATCCAAAGTCCACGTGTGTGCGTCCGAATTGAGCGCCAGTCTAGTGTGATTTATCGTGTAGCTTTATCGAAGCTACGGCAGTGCACAGTGTCTGCATTCGAGCGGAAATGAAAGATGGCCTAACGAAGATCACGAGCCGACGAGCCGCTCTCTTCAGTTATTCAATTCCAGCGTGGTAGGCTACTCGCGGATGCAAATTGGCATATCTTTCGCGGCAACGGCATTTCTTGTACGTACCTGCCAAGCCAACGCAGCAAATTAATCTTCGAGTTGTTTAATCAAAAGGAAAGAGAGAGGATAAAGCGGATGGATGCGCGCTACTAAAAATGAACCCGCCATTACTTTCTTCTTCTCTTTTTTTTCCTTTCTTCTGTAAACTTGGAAAAAATAATTGGATTATCTTTTGATAGGATCGCCTGGGCTAATGAAAAGCTAGGAAGCCCGCACGAAGAAAAATTGTGAATGGGGCCGAGAGCGGAAGAGAGTTATGCTTTTTTTCTTTCATCCTTTCTGTGCGGCTATCGCGGAAAAGTTATTTTGCTTTCGCGAGTTTTTCGTCGTTAATTGAAAGTAAGATGAATTCGTCTCGCGGAGGCTAAAATCGGCCGGGATAAAAGGAGATGAAGTACGTGAACGCCGATCGAATAAACCAGTTCGTATCGACAAGTCGTGTTTGCATATTTGCGCAAGTGGAAATTCAAGTGGTTAGAAATCGGGACGCAATACGAATGTTTAATCGTAGCCGCTCGTTGAGCGCGCGTCGATATAAACCGAGCATTGTTAACAAGGGCCTCTCTCTCTCTCACTCTCTCGCAAGCAGATAGAATTCCTCTCTCTCCCTGATGATAAATGAGATTCGAATCATTAATTAAAAGAAGAGAGGAGACGTCCTTCCTTTTTCCCATTCAGTCCGTCGAGCAGCAGCTATGCCAGGGGCTTTAACGATCCTCCATCTACAGCTGTTCATTTGCGCTTCGTTATTCGTCCACTTGTATGTAAAAAAATCTTTCTGGCGTACTGGCACAATGCTGCATATGTGATGAAAAAAAGCAAAAACCGTGTCAGTGAAAATATTCTCTCTTTCTGCGCGATTAATTGTCATGCAGATTCAATTGTCACGCATACGTTCGAACATCTATATACTCGCTATTTTCGACAGAAGTCGTATGTATATGTACGTGTAGTAAAGCCACGTTCCTCTCTCTCCCTCTCTCTCTCGTCTTATCTGTCGAGAGCTTCTTCCTGCTCTACCGAGTACTGCGGCGCTCGTATAGTGCTTACTTTATGGCTCGACTCTCTCGCGCGAGCTAGAGAATGTCGAGTGTGATTGCCGCTGCTGGCGGATGTATATTCAATTTAATTACACGGTCTTTCCGGGAGCTTGGTTCTTTTTCTGCAGATGACGTTATTATTGTGACGACGTTTGCGGAATTTCGGCGATGCTAATTACCGGGTGTTCCATAATTAGTGGTAGTCGTCGGGAGTAATTGAATTGTATACCGCACTACTCGCCAAAAGTTTGCCTGACACGTGCGCGCGCAACCGCGCGCAGTTCTGGCACTATCCGCGTTTCAAAGCACTTTCTAGAATGTTCGCGCGAAATGTTAATAATGCGAACGTCATCCTACTGCCGCTGTTGCTCGTGAAATCATAATTTCGGGATGAATCCGCGTTAGTTTATTGGTCACTCGCGGGGTTCCTTGATTATGAAAATGCATTCTGCATCGAGAAAGAGACACTGGTTGTACGGCAAGACAATCGCAAAAGTACGAAAGTTTTCGAAGCTGGAGATATTGGAAAGAAAGTGCCTTCGTGAAGGATTAAACAAGCTGTAAGAGGCAGTCGCTCAAGGGAAAGTTAGGGAGGGCGAGCCGAGGGCATTTATGAAAATGCGCATCGAAAATCTCATGGAAGAGAGCAGTAGAGAGAAAGTAGAAGTTGTCAGCTTTTCGCGCAAATCTCTTACAGTATGGGCGAGCGTTTTTTTTTTATTATTATTATACAGGACCCGCGCGACACTTGTAATTCACCAACAAACTGCGGATGACGTTGACTTAACAAGTAGCGCGCGCAAAGTTTTTGATGTAGAAGTTCCAATGCGATTTCGCTAAAAGCTTCCCTAGCTGGCGTTGCATCGATTTGCCTCAAGTGAAATTAAGTACTTAAGAAATGGAAATTGAGGATTAGCGCGAGAGACTAGCGTTTCTTAGCTGACTCTTGACTCTTTGAGGCGCCGCACGATGATAACCGACCGGAGTAACTTTGATGGTTTGAAGCTTCTACGCTTTAAGTAAAACTTCCAAACGACTCGTAATGTCGGACCTTACAAGATTAATGCATTTAGTTACAGAGCTTGCGTCCTATTGCGCTGTAGTAGATATTTATTATTCTTTCCTTGTTAGTGTAACTAGTTTTTGTAATTTTATCACTAAACGGATACTGTAAACCACATCTCGTGAAACAACTCGAATTTATTCAATCTCGAAAATTTATTTATATTTACCGGTCTTTTTCTTCTGGAGATCTATAAAATTAGCGACGAAAAACATTGGAGTGAGACACACTAATTTTTTTACCGATTTAGAAAATGACGCAACGGCAACGTTATTGGATTCTTGATCGAGAAATAACGAAAACATATGTTATTTTTTGTCAAAAATAACGTAATAAATGTCAGTGGGTGAGAAAATTCTATTGTTATGTAAAGTGGCGATGATTTTATTCATACAAACCCGAAGTTCAACAGATAACTGGAACGAATAAAGCTAGCATTAATCAGCGTTTTATTGATGGAATTCCTTCATAAGCATATTCAACATGTTCACAAATAGTACAGCCGGTAATATCTCCACTGTAATTCATTACTGCAGTTTAATTTGAGCGCTATTCCTTGGAGTTGTTCATTGAAAAAGAATAATTTGGAATGTAATTGGTTCACATAGTGAATTCTTCACTTACGAAAATGTACGGTCAGCATTAGAAATAACGAATGTGGACTTGGTTAATTATTTTCGGTTTGCATTATTTTCCGTGAATCCATTATATCACGTACGAAGAAGCAATGTGTAACGCGGTCACTGGATTACTTAAAAATTCGCTGAAGTCCTTACGGGGATCGCAATTGAGTAAAGAATATTCGGGCGCACAACACAGTCAGAAACGAAATATCCCAGCGAAATATAGAGGTACGAGACTTAGGCAAGAGTGAGAGAACAGTGGCGGTAAGCGCGCAGGCACTCAGAGGTGAAATTTTCGTTTTAATAACGTTGACTGGTAGGGGAGCGTGAGGCTAGTTTTGATATTGTGCTCCCGGCAAGTTACCGTTCAGCGATAAAAGCTTGTAAGGCAGGATATTATCCGGAAATGTTATTAGAGTGATATTATACGTAAAAGCCACATACTCGTATTAGGTTAGCATTAAGCTGCAGCAACCGCAGTGCAGCTGTATGCCAAAATGCTCCACATACAAACGCATCAATAAACTTTCAATTCGAGCTCTGCTCTCGTCCGCGATACGCCGGGCTATATTTTAAAACATATACTTTGCGGCTGAAAGCTCGCAACGGGAATGTCGGAATTAGCATACGCGGGCGCACAAGGCTTGTCGGGCATGCCAGCGAGCTTTAATTGAACATCTATATCGAGACTTTATTGATGAACGCTGTTTGCTTTTGCAGGCCTGAAGCAGCGGTCCACCGAATCGCCACGAACGAGTGAGTACGCAACCGATTCTTCCATCTTGGTTCCCACCGGAGTAGCAGCGTAATCAAGTTGCCGATGAATTTCCCTCGAAGCACATCGATCACTCTGCCGCGAAGCTGCCTACGAATTGGCAACAATATACCACGCCCGCGCGTTCTCGTTTCATCCAAGAGCTTATATATCGCGCGCCAGATAAGAAAATTCAATTTCTGTTTGACGCGATTACCCTCGCTGAGGCCCGGGGAGGGTGTCTCGCGCGACAATTTCACGCGCCTGCCCTCGCAACGATCGCACGAGAGCGGACATGTGCGACTAAACATGCGCTCGGCTGTGAAAGGAGGAGGCAGCGTTTTAAGAGGGACCGGAAGATTGGCTCCTTGCTTGCTCTTCGACGTTCGGCTCCCGGTGTGATGTCGCCGCGGTGTAACGATCGCGCGATAAAATTATCGAAATAAAAAGGACGACGCAGCCGTCAAATTTGGAGCTTCCTCAAGGCCAAATGATTCCCCTTTAACCGTCAGCGGCACGTGCGCGCGCGTCGGCCGGAAACATGTACGTTACTGGCCTTGTTCCGCGCCAACAAGCTTATGGGAAACAACAAACGAAAAAAAGAGCTCGGCAGCAAATTGAGAAACGGTCCATATACACGGCCACGGCTCGCTTCCGTCTGGCTAACCGCATACACGCGTACGCAAAATAGCGCCCCGAAAAGCGTAGCGTATACTGTCCGCTGCAAAATCGCGACGCTCGTTACGGCCGGCTGGCGTCTGGCAGTGACGAATATCTAAATTTTCGGCGCGGGCGTGTGACGCTATATATACAAAATGCACGTGGCGCTGTTGGTGGTGGCCTTTTTAAAGCCGCTCATGCATCACAATTTGGGCACGGAGGGGCAGGAAAAAGCCCCGCGCGCACACGCGCATTTCCAGCTATAAATCTGTCGCTTTTGCGCCAGCTAGCCACCGGCTCGATATTATGTGCGACGCCTTTTATATGGACTCGTTGACGCTTTCGGACCGAACGAGGATTTATAGTCAGCGCGCGACGCTCGTGTGGGGGGGGGGGGGGAGCAAATCTCTCGCGGATATAATAACTCGCGACGATTGTTTCATTCGTTGCGACGATCGACGGATCTTTTTTTTAGTGGCTAATCGGCGATTTTCATTTGGCGACTTTATTACCGATGACAGTCGGCTGATTGATGAACATGAGCGTGGCAATCTCGACAAGCTTACTTTTCTTTTCCACGACAATTGTCTTTCCACTTAAAAAGTCCTTATATTCTTCTCTTCTCGATTCATGGAAGCTGTATACGCTTTTGCATGTACAGTCTTTTGTTTCGAAACGCGCGTATTGTTTGCGAGAATTAAAGCACCACCCAACGACGAGTCTGACTTTGCGAAATAATGAATCGAATTAAAAGCTGTTTGATATAAACGCTGTATGCTTATACGAATGGCTAAATATATAAAAGTTATGCGTTGAAAATGACGAATAAAAGCTGCGTGAATTGTATGTGTTAATTAAACAACGTTCAAGTGTTAATTAACTAAATTGATATCCTTTCAATTGGAAAATCGAATTTCCTTCTGTATTTTTTTTATATAATATTACTTGTACTGTATTTATTTGTACTGGCATGAAATTAACATGATATTTGATACAGTTAAATGCGAGTAAAAGATGATAAAAATATTTTTAAACTCATAATTCGAAAAATACTTTGATGGCAGTTAATAACTTGAGTGCAGTTATAAGTTTGGATTTCCGTATCACGTACTTTTTCTTTTGTCCAACGGTTTAATGGAAAAAGTCACTGACGAACAAAACTTTGATAATTCCCCTTGTACTCTTCCAAGTCGTTACGATATCAAAGTATGAATCATGCATGATACTTCTCTGGGCACACGTGTTACTGTTGACTATTGTTATTAGATTCTAATTACGTTGGGGTACGAAAAAAAAGCGCGCGTCCTCTTTCGTACTTGATGAGGTGTGAGCAATGCAAATCAAATCTCAGCCCGTGACGAAACTTTAAATTATACTGCACGTCCCGTAGGGATCACAAACCGAGAGAGAGAGAGTCTGATTAGTTTGCCTTCTCGTCTGCGCATGTCGCGATATATAGCGTCGTGTGTCTGCAAACAGACATAGAAACAATTTCTTTGAGTCTGGTATTTTTTTTTCACACAGCGGTAGGATCGATGACACACACATGTCCGCAGAGATGAAGCCGAGCGTGTATTTACTCTTGGATGTCCTCGTTTGTACTCTGCTGCTACTGCTCGCTTCTGGAAGAGAGAAGAAAAAAAAACATATTGCTACGCGCGATGTATTGTCAGCATATTTGCTCCCGCGGTGCTTTGCTTTAAGCGAGTTGACTTTTGTATTTTTTTTCGCTCTGTGAAGAAAACAGTTTTGTTGAGATCTAAATTTTCGAATGGCTGGGTTTCATGTCGCTTTTCTTTCGAGGGGTACGGTTTGTTTTTTTGAAAGTCGCTTAATTTCTGGGTATATTATTGAAGCTTGCGCATCTGGAGCTTGCAAATTTCCTACGGTTTGCTGTAGCGGAAATATTTTTTTGTCTGCATGGCATAATACTGTAATGAATTTTCAAATGATACTATAATACAGCAACCGAAATGTCTATAAAATTGTCAGAAGCTCGGCTTAGCCTGGGTGTAATTATAATATGCGATAAAGTCGAAGCAACTCTGAACTTCGCATTAAGTCTGCTCTGCGGAACGGTATGAATGTAAATCGGCAGTATGTACTTAAGCTCCTTTATACAGCTAAATGTTGCGCGGTTATCCTTAATAAACTACTCATTCCAAAGTATCCGCATAGGGACTCTTACACATAGGGCTGACGCCTAAATAAACTCGGTCAACATGTACTCAAGGTGTCCGCTTTTTTACTCGACATTTCGATAAGCTGCTCTCCTGCCATCATCGTATACACTTTTAAAACAATTAAGTCGCTCGGGAAACGCATCAATTTGACTTTAAAAAACCTACTGCAGAGCGCTCAGGTCTGAAAGATAGAGTGGAAGCTTTTGTTAGTGTGCGCGCGTCGCGCGAATGCGAAATCCGTTTAATGCACTTGTGTCTTTGTTTCCTGGGAGGGAAAGAAGGGTGTAGCGCTTTTACCGTTTATTGCGTAAAAGGGAAGTGCGCTCGGCGCGTTTTGTATTGTATTTTCTCTGGCACGCGAGGTAATCTTATTTGCGGACGAAAGCGTCGCGTCTCTCTTTTGCGGTAAGCCCTTACGCTCCTTTTCCTTCTTTCTTTCTTTCTTTTGCTATTTTTTTTTGTTAAAACTTTGTTGTGCGTGTTTGGCGCGTGTATATGACATTAATTAATGATTTCATCGCGTTAGATATCACCGTCAATGTATGCGTATGATTTCTATTCTGCGAATTGGAACTCGCTGCTGGCGTGTTTGGCGCCAGAGTGTTCTGTTTCAATATTGATAGTCGGAGCTTATTACAAATTATCGAGATGAATTTGTGCATCCTCGTTTCGGTTTCTCTAGTAATGTATAAAATAGTATGTTGCGTGCGTGTACATCGAACGCGTGTACATAAACTAGCGAGGATGTTTCTTGTTCGAGTCAATGAATGTTTGTTTGCTTTGATTTTTCGAACTATTCTCATTCAATCGTAAAGGAGTCGAAATAAATGTGATGGGTAGCAGCACTCCAAGTATAGTTGTAATCGAGCGTCATTACCAGAATCCGGAAATTTCAATCAAGCTCCTCGACAGTAAGAGAGTCGACAAACTAATTGGTCGTAATCGCATTCAAGTAGATGAGCTTGCTTAATGCGATGCAAATTGTAAATAAACAAATGCAGACCGTGCTTACCTCGAGTGTACACGCAATGAGAGTTTTAGGCACGCTCGCAACGAACGAAATCGTTTTTCGGTGCCTCGTGCAAGCTTCTCGCGTATTATTAGCATGTATCATGAGCTTTCTCGTATGGTGTTTACGTAGCTTGGCAAACACGCGTAAATCACCTAGCCGGCGCTTTTGTCATGATAATCAGTTGCCCTCCTGTTGTTGTCAACGCGATTAGCCACCAACACTGGACTGTACATGCGCCAAAAATTTCACTCACTTCATGCATTGGCAAATATTTTGAATTATTCCATTCTTTAATTGCGCGCGTGTAATTTTTGTTTCCTTTTCCTGCGGCTGAGTTTTTCCTACGATCCATCCATCATTCGTTCATGGTTGACAGTTCGAAGGAAACGCGAGGCGTGCGGAAATGTCGAACCACTACTATTGCCCCGTGGTAGAAATGCATTGTCCGAAATAGAGACAGAGAGACAGAGAGACAGAGAGACAGAGAGACAGAGAGAGAGAGAGACAGACAGACAGACAGACAGACAGACAGAGAGGGAGATGAATGTCGAGAGTTTGAATGTTATACTTACTCTCTATGGCTTTTGACTGGACGAGTTTCCGTCATGTGTGCAGATTGGTTACTCTTTTTTTCGTTGTTTGATTCTATGGAAAAGGAGAATAATAATCTAACGAAAACACAGCGCTCTTTTTTTTTAGATAGCGAACGTAAAAGCTAATTACTTTAACAATTAAAAATGAAGATTTCATTAATCTTTCGAGACGTAGCGAGCATTTAGCGCGATATTATGAGAGAAAATTTTAATTATGTAAATTTAGCAATCGAGCAAGAAGAGGTAAGAATAAAAATCCAGAAATAACATCAATCACGGGACAGTAATTAATTTATCAATCTTGCAATTTTTCTAATGTGATATAGCTAACAAAGCTCGATCTGCAGCCATTCAATTATTAACTGAACAAAGATCTAACTATTAGAACATTTGCTGCTGTCTTTTCACTGATAAATTTTCCAATCTCTCTGTTGATAAACCGCATGTGGAATCTTTCATCGTCACGTGGAAAAAGAAAAACGTCTCCATCTGCAGAGCGTAAATATAGAAAGCGCGAGATGCCTGGAGGGTGAGTAAATATTACGAAGTCGAAT